ACCCATCATTAAGTCTTTGGAATTTAGCTAGCCTGCAAGCTGCTATATCTGTAGCCTTTATGTATATATATATACACACACACACACACACTAAAAGTACATGAAAGCCTTATTAATTTTACAACTTGAACCCATAAAATTTATAAAATTAAAGTGAGTTATATTTATTTGCAAATTAATTATTTAATTATGATGATTAATTAGCCATAAAGAGTTAGATTAAGGCGTTGATTCCCTTGCAGTTAAAGGCAATAAAAGGTTGAAGCAAAAAGCGGACTTCCCCAGGCTGGGGAAGAACCTAAATTGAATAATATTTTCTATATATATATATATATATATATATGTTATTGACAACCAAGTCACTCCAGTCCACTAATAAGGTGATAGATTTCCACATTGTATATATTCCTGCAGATATTTTGGAGTTGGTGAATGATTCTTGGTACCTTTCCGAATCATTTGCCTTCTAATTCAGCTGGTCGGTACCCTGTTTTAATTAATTTCTAAATAAAAATTTATATTTAATTTTAATTTATTATTTTATATTATTGGCAAATTTAATTTACGGTGTACAACAAAAAAAAAAAAGAAAACCTTATAACAGTTGAATTTATTTTAACAAGCAATGGGCATTTTTACTTCTTTATTATTTTAAACTCTCCGACTCCTCCGTTATACTTTTAAATATATAAAGCATACTAATTTAATTAATATATATATACATGTAAATGTGTCTCTCTCTCTCTCTTTAGTTGACCGAACTTATATTCTCGATAGACCAATTGCGGAGTGCCAACATACGGGATGTGCATATGATAGTTAATTAAACTTTAAGCAAATATAAAATACACGAATTAATGATTGTCTGAGGAAATTAAAGATTTGACTTTTAGGATTGAATGTCAACTATTGATAATTGCTTTCTGATTGGATTGTCAAAGTTGTATAAGTTAGAAATGCCAACTTAATCTTTTGCATATAAAACTGTAGGATATGGAAGTAGGCTCTTTAGGTATTTAAAAATTAACGATGTTGTCTGTGTATACATACACATATATATATATATATATATATGTTCAAAATGATTAATTATTTTATACATATTGATGTAACATTTCTTTTATTATTACTGAAATAAAAAAATTAAAATAATTGGTAAATTTTTATAAGGTGATTTGTGTCCTTCAATAATAATAACAAAATATAATATTATATTCACATTTGTATCTATTTCGTTAAATTAATTCCTCAGTACAAGATATATAAATAAACGAGAGAGAGAGAGAAAAAAAAAAAAAAAAAAAAAAAAGAAGATTAAGTTAAGAGGAATAGTAAATGAACTAAGAAGACTCAGAGATTAAATCAATAATTGTTTTACACGATTAAGAAAAAAAAAGATTAAATCAGAACCATTAAAAAGAAAAGATTAAATAATTGCACAAATATATCTGGAATGTAATACAATATATAAAAAAAAAATTATTAGATACCCTAAGAATATATATGAATCGGTAGATCTAAAATGTGATTAATACATTTTAAATTTTGTTCTTGTAATATATTTTTTTAAAAAAACAAATATTTAAAATAATTAAATTACATTTAATGAATCTACCAATTTATTTATATTTTAAAATACCTAATAATTACTCCGATACGTGTTGACTAGTGACCAACCCCTGGACTATGACCTGGCGTGGTGGGTCGGAAAGCCTCCACGATTGCCTCAGTAGATTTAACACTACTAGGCTTTGGGAAGTTCATATTTTTGCTACTTGATGGAGTGTTCTTCAAATTCCTCCCTTGGGTACCGTGAAGACAATGAGAGCACAAGATCATTACTACAAGAAACAAACAACTACAAGCCACATTCGCCATGGTACTCACTCAAACTCAAAGCTATATATGTATGTAATAGAAAGTTTTAGCTCTCGAGCAATACGATGCCTAATATATTATCTGGTAGATGTGCTCAACACCGTTCGCCTCTAAGGGGTATTTATAGACTGGAGAAAGCTGTAGTGTCATGTGACCAAGCTCAAGCCCTTCCAATTAAATATATATATATAACTAAAAGTACATATAGATGTTTGTAAAATTAGAGCCCCAGAGATTAAGGAATATGCGAAGGTAGCTATACGTACATTGAAGGGTTACAATACATAAATTTTTTTTAAAAAAAAAAAACAAATCACATTTTTACACACACACCGTCTGGACCTACCGCAGTAGAACCTAATTTGGCCCTTGTATATAAATTGCAAGTAGCCTTTCCAAGTAAAGTCCCCAGACAAGTTTATGGGCTTCAACAGTAGTTTTCCAGAGCAATCTATATATGCATGCACGCTGCATGAAATACAATTACATATTCCAAATATTTTCATGACACTTTTCTTTTTACTACACGTCGCTGTATTTGACCTTAATATTGGCATTTACATTCAACCTTTGTACCTCAGTAATTTCTTTTTATTGAAGCAATTAAACTATACATATTTACACACATATAAGTTAGTTGGCATTCACACACGTTGTCGCATTTTTTTATTAAAACTTTTGGTGGGGGGGAAGATTCTCACGGCATCTTCTCAGTTGCATGTTTTACTGATTTTATTTCGTTTATTTGGAGAGCTACTGCATTGGCTGCTAGCTGTTTATGTAATATTGATATAATTATATATAACTAGTCATGTGTATGTTTATATATATGATCAATATAGCTTTATGTTTATACTAATTAAAGATGATTAGACAGGGCGCTGCCATGTGCAGTAAGTTTTAAACAATTATACATGTACTTAATTTTTATTAACTAATTAATGAAAACCACCTCCTTAATTTTTGTTCCGATTCAAAAAGTTGAAGTTAATTAAAAAATATATTTATTTTGGAATTAATTAATTAACAAGTTAGAAATTTAATTAAGAGAATCAATCTTAATTTACCATATCATTTAGAATCTAGCTGTACCTCTACACTTTAGGATTCCAGTGAATATTCCCCTCTAAAATTTGCGGCTGGCTACTTTAAACGACTGTCAAGCTCCAGCTTGAAATGATATGATGTCGTCATTATGTCCCAAAGGAGTTGGCGGTTTGCACTAATAAAATAATGTGAATATATATATATACATATTTTTTGAGTGTATATATATTACCATATTCAAAATATATACGATCAATTAAATTCACAAAATTGTAATATTATAATTAAATTAAATTAAAAATGACGTATATGTAATTGTGTTAGTTGGAGTAATAAATAAATTAATGTTTCTTATATTTTTATAAATAGAGTATTTATAAAATAAGTGTCAAATAAACCAAATTGGTACACAAACTGATTAATTTGAAAATTATTTGAGAAAAAAATTAATTAGTTTTAGTATATGTAAATAATTAAATTCAAATTGTATTTAAAAAAATTAATATTTTTTTTTGTCTTTATATCTCTTTATAAATACAAGATATAACTAAGGCATATTAATTAATTTATGTGACACGTGATGTGAATATCGGATATAATTTTTACAAATTAAATAATTTGTAATTTAAGGAGAAATATTTTTATACTTAAAACCTAGATTAATATGCAGGCATGCGTGCCTAGCTATAGCATATTTTGGAATACTCAAAACAGATAGTATATTTAATGCTACTTGTTGAAGCATGCACGTGTTCTGTCTCAAAAGTTTGATTAATGCAGTTTCCTTTTTCTTATCGCCATGTCAATAATATATATGCTGTGGTGTGAAATTAACCCTTCATCCTCAAACTTACAAAACAAACACTACTCAACAGTAACATTTAAGTCACTAATTACTTAAAATAAGTTTATTAATTAAATACATCATATAAAAATATAATATTAGAATACTAATCTCCTTATTATTTAATCTACTATGCCGGTATGTTTTAATATTAGAAGAGTATTATTGTCTGATTAGTATGTTTTAATTTGATTATAGTGCTCCTACATACAAATGGTTGGTTTACTACTACTTAAGCTGGACCACACTCCTCTTATAGAATTTGTTTTTTTTTTTTTTATATATTTTCATATTTCAACATTCTCTCTCTTTCTCTTTTCTTTTTGTGAATTTAAAAAAATAATATAAAATTTAAACCTCTTTACCTGCCACTTCATATTTTTTAAAATTATCACCGCAAATTAAATATAATGATAATATAGCCGAAATTGGAGTTAGTTGTTATTGCCTTTCATGTGTCTATTCCACTCTTTTTGGTGTTGATTTTTCATATATATATATATATATATATATATGTATGTATACACACCTATATATAACTCTGCAAAAGTACTTCATTGGCTCTTCTTGCTTTTGGACTAGACCATATACTAATTATACTCTTGAAGAACTAAGTAGCTTTTCCACTTTAGGCTTTCCTTATAATAATGTTCCTATTTGGTATTACATTTTTATATTTAAGGTTGTCCTTTTTCCCCAACTGGAAATCTTTTTGCTTTCTCTTTTAGTTTCTATTTCATCCTCACCTCATTCTAATTTTTAATCTTAATAATGTGTATAAATATGTATAACATCTTATGGTGGAACATATATGTAATTTAATATATATATATATATATATATATATGTATATTCCAATCTCCAGTCATGCTCAAAAGGACAAAAAATATGACTAATTTTTCCTTCACTAATTCCTAGGTTTTGAGCTTTATAAACTAAGAAACATATACACCGGATTCCCAGAAAATAAAAAGTCTTAAAACACTTTAAAGTGCCAAAACTAATTACTTTATTATACTTCCCACAACACTCGAGTTAATTTATGCGTTAATTGATCTGTTTTAGTAATTTTCATTTTCTATAATCATTAGCTTTTTTGCGTGCACTGTTATTTAATCAATCAAACTTATTTACAAATAAATCACCTAAAAAAGATGGCGGCTAATTAAGTACACATGAACAAGGTAATCAACAGTTTCTTAATTGGTAAATTAAAGACGAAAAATGATGTCTAGCGCCTGGCATTTGGTTCATCGTCATTGTCGCCATGGCCAACGCCGCCGCTGTGACCCGGAGAAGTAGCCTGGACAGTTACCTGGAAATCATCTTTGTTCGACCAACCTTGGCTGTTGACATCTGCAAAAGAATCGCCAATGCCCCCTGGACTGTTACCCGGAGCTTTTGGTGCTCTGGGTGGTGATGTTTCTTTCTGATAATCAGAAGATGGAGGTTTGAAATGAGCTGCTTTTGACCCAGACATGTCCTTGTTGCCATTTTGAAAGGAATGGCCGACGCCCGGACTGATACCGGGAGTTGTTGGTCGGAAACCCGCTGTATCGTGCGCTGCAAATGAATCATCAAAGTCACCATTGTTGCCTGTGATCAGTTCTCTTATTTTTCTCGCTTCAGTGATCATTAAACTTGCAAATAGTAGGGCTAAGAGGATCCCACATCGGACGATTGTTTGATATTCCATAATATACTAAAAATATATATATCAACTCCAAGTAAAGAAGCTGTAACTGCTTGTACTGACAACCAAGGGAATTGGAGGTAGAAGCTATTGCAGAATGGAGGTTAAAGCTCGAACCTCGACTGTATTTATAGTGTTAGACATGGATCGCCTATCAGGCTTTCTCTGTGAGAGAAGTCGCTCATCACAAGATCCTAACCGCTAATGAATTTCATTAATAAAATATATGTATGGGACCTGCATGAATATCATCAACTTGGGTGGTCAGAAATCAAGTAATCATAGACTTTTAAAAGGGTTCTCATGATGATGGAAGCTGTACTCTTTATATGTGTATATATATAACTATCTCATGCATTATGCATACATATCATACACATATACATACATAAGTATAGGCTAGCCACATATATAAAATTCTCAACGTGAACAATATCTCCACCGACTTAACCGAAATATTTCTTTGTTTGAACAAAACATTCACCTACCAAGTTTCAACTCCATCCCTGACCTTTCATAGTGCTGAAATGTTGCTTTGTTGTTTCAAAAATTTTAGAGGGCGCATGATCTACTGTCAACCACTTCACTGTTTTTAAATATATTAACTACTGCTTAAGCTATATATATGTTAATTTTTTAACTAGCATATATATAGAGTATACTTATCAAATATTTATATGAATATAATATATATATATATATAACTAATACATATATGTATGTATCTTCCCCGCAGCCCAGTGCACTGAAAAGATTGTGATTCTCCCGTCCTTTGTTCTTCCCACTTGCAAATTATATATATATATATGTGTGTGTGTGTGTGTATAGTTTTATTGATCTTATATGTATGTCGATTGCTCTGATTTTAATTTTGGAGGCCTAGACGACAAATTCAAGCGAGCACATCTGTCCTTGTTCCGTCGTTTAAAATCCTATGTATTTACTATGGTGAATACTTTCATAAGGGTTTATACACATATATATTCATTATATGCATGCACACATAAATTAATTATTGGTTTTACTGAAAGGTAGGGAATCTGGCTGTGAAGTAGAAAGTTTTGCCTTTGAGCAAGTTTTATTATTTTGTTAAGTCTTAACGTCATAATTAGATGTAAATTAGGAAATATTCTGCACTTCAAAAATACAGTTGACAAATTATTAAATATAAAATAATTGTTGAATTAATTGTTTAAATGAAACGAAAACAATTCAATTGATATATATTTTTGAGAGGTAAAATCAATATTATTAATTAAAAAGTCCAGAGTAAAAAAAAAATAAAAAAAAATCAATAGTTAAAACATAAAATCATCACCATCAAAATGCAGTCATCAACTAATATCCGAATAAAAAATAAAATCTTTTTCTATTACTTTAAAATTTTAGCGTAATCAATTACTTAAACACAATATCAAAGTATAGAGGATCTGGAAAGACATTCTTTGCAATAATGAGATATGTTACTGTATAAATAATAAGTTATATTTGTCCAACTAACTTAGATTTTTGTGATAATTTGTTTTAAAATCATGAGCTAATTTTTTGATCTCAAGCTAAAAGCCATCATGATAAAAACTCCATTCTTTAGTGTACCACCACTCACTATGAAATGATATCTAATCAAATTACACTATATATATATATATATATATATGTATGTATGTATGTATATATGGGGTCAGTATTAATATAGGAGAACTAATTGGAAGTCAAAAGTCAACTTATTCCAAGAGTTTTTCAAAGACCACTAAGAAATATTGTTAATATTGACTAATAGTCAATGATGAGATTAGACCTCAAGAAAATTGAGAGATCTCCATACCAATGATTATTTTAATTAGATTTATTTTCCGGTTGTGCTTTTTTTTTTTCATTCTTTATTTTGTTTTTGGGTATTTGTAGATATTTGAACTTCTTGCTTTATAAGCATGAAGTATGTTGAAGGTAGTTTACACGAATAATGTATTAACATTCAGACACGAGAAGTCAGACAATATTTTTTATCAAGAAGGGTTATCATATGTTGTGCTCTTTTTTTCTTTTACCAAAATTTGTTTTCATTGAGGTTTTTTTTAATAAGATACAATTTTTCTGTTTTAAAAATAAAGGAATGCTACATACTCTTTAAATTTCATGAGCCATAGACAGCTCGGACCTCTTCACATTCCGCATCTTCCCATTCCACAACCTTCTAATTACTTCATAATTTGATTCTATGATGTTATGTACTCTTATGTAAATAGAGGTTGCAAGATATTTTATTATGTTACTGATATATTTTCGTCAAATTTATAATAATTTAAAATTTATTGTAAATTTAAATAATCAATATATACATAGATATTAGTATAGTGCATGTTACCACTTAGGAAAGGAAAGAGGCATATTTAATTAGCTTAAGTGCCACTAACGTAAATTATATTGTTTTCTTTTTTTTTTTCCCCAGTACGGACGATTTAGCATTGCCCGAAATTTGACCAAAATAGGAACTTTAGTGGTCACGATATCATGACTTTTGATACGATGAAGAAGTTGTTTTGGATTTATATGTCGCATGTTGGAACCGCTTTAATATCAATTATTATTATTATTATTTTTTAAAAAATATATTAATAAAAAGTAAAAATATTTACAAAAAACATGAATTCAGTGGTCCGCTTAAAAGATTTACTGCAATCATAAAAATAGTTAAGTTATTTTTTTCCTTGATGAAAATATAAGTAATGCGAAGAGTTTAGTTCATGTATGTGTGTGTGCGTGTGTATATATATATATATATATATATTTATAAAAATATTATTAAATTGATATAAGAAATTGGAATAATTTGTTAAGAGGGGAAAGTTGAAAAAAGTCAAGTCAAAGCACCCAGTGAAATAATAAGAAAGTGGAATGCATCGGTGGCATTTGTGAGTCAAATAATTTGATTTATTTATATAATATATATATATATATATTTTAATAATCAATCTTCCAAAAGGTGTGCGCTCTGTCTGGTTGGCTCCTCGAATCAGGGAACCTCCTTGCGGGGCCCACTCAATTAATAAAATAATTAACTGTGAATTTTGGAAGTATCTTCATCTTTTTATACACTTTTAACTCTGATTATTTTAATTCTCAAATTTTGTAACTAAAACAATTATTTTATATGAGTACTAGTTGAATGCTATTCAACTCTCCCCCAACAAATGTGATTCTTTAACTCCATTATATAATTGAATAAGAAGAAAATTGTTCAAAACAAACTAATATTTTAATTCTAAAATGTATGAATTCTGTGTTTAATTTAATTATTTTTATTTTTATTTTTTATGCGAAAATAATTTAACTAATTCTTTCTTTTCTTTTCTTTTGATGTGTTTATTCGTATATACATTTACTTACTCGGCCCAAGAGTCCAGTTCAGAACATTTTTAGCCGAGTGATTGTAACCGGGCTCGAGACACAACCAATTGGAGCCATCTGGTGTGCAAAACAGCGAAGCCCAATCTCTCAAATTTCAAATTACAAAATTATCTTCACTTTTGCTTCTTTAAAGACCAAACCATAATCAAATTCATTTTAACCATTCCTTCATCTTGGTATATAAACCCACTAATGAACTCAACAGTTAAGCACAATAAAAGATAAGCATCTGCTTTGAAGAATTGCTTCCCCAATCCTTTTGATCACCTGAAATTTACTTCTACCGTTCACACCCAACACCCAAAATTTAAAATTAGATGATAAAAAAATTACAAACATCAACAGCATGTCTGACAGCATCCATTCGTCCCCATGCCAGCCAAAACTTGATTCGGGATAGCCTGTACTCTGTCAGCCAGCCTCTGTAAGCTCAAAAATGAAGTGAAGTTGTTGCTATTCACACTTTTTCTTTTTCTTTTCTTTTCTTTTCTTTTCAAGAGTTAGATTGTGGAGTCATCCTAGTAGTCAGCACGAAGGAATCTTTCATACTCTGTTCCGTTGAGCATCTTATTCACATCATCCCAGTTCGCAATGTGGTCAGATATGGAACCTTTGTGTATTTTAACCTGGCGGCTTGTCAGTTCCATCTGCGGAATGTTCAAGAACTCTTGAACATCTCTTAGTTTCTGCAGCAAGGATTACACGCCATTTAACAGATTAATAATTACTCGGCAATGTGCCAGTTATGTGATGGTAAATCATGACAAAAGTAGAGATATTGCTACAGATTAATAATTCTCCATCAAAAGCTAACCATCAATCATAGTTATAACTCCTTACTGTTCGGTTGGTAACTAGATCTTCGTAGTACAGTATTATGTGGCGGGTGCTATTGAAGTATTCTAAAGCCTTGGCAACTGCCATGTCCACTTCTTTCAGATCATCTATCAACGATGTTGAATTGATCTTAGGCTTATACCTTGAAAGTGTATCAGCCTACAAAAATTTGTCATTCAAGAGTTAACATGCATAAACACAAACACACAAACATATATATTTTTATATAGAGAGAGCAAGAGAAAGAACCTCCTCTACTGAATGCACATGGGACTTGTGCGTTCCATTCAGTAGCTTAGCATAGCGATCATAGGAGTTGGCAAGCACTGAAACCATCCTTCGCAGCAGATTCCTACGGAAGAGGAATATAGCTGAGACCCCTCTACGGTTGAAGTATTCTACAATATCCCTATGGTACTCGATTAACCCCTGTCAATGTTACAATAGCATAGGAAGTTCCCTTAGTATATTCACATCAACATGGTGTATAGACAAGGAAGATTGATCAGGGTTTCTCACTACCCAAAAGCTGAAGGAACTGTAACTAATGTATCTATTTGTTCTTTTACCTCTATTTCGTTCAATATTAAGCTGTTTGAGTTGAGGTTAACATTATGAATTGGCTTCTTAGAACGCATCTAAACCTTCAAGTAATTTACCCAGAAGCTATGAAAGAATGAAACTTTTCCTTGTTACTTAAACATAATATGGCAATGGCATCCAATGTGCATGACCGTGAAACTAGAAATTTTCAGTCTGATAAACTCGGATAGACTAGACTCTTCTTTCTCTTTTAAGTGTGTCTTATCCGGCACTACCACTAGCTTGATACATTAGAGCAAAAATAGAAGTCTGATGTTCGCAGCTGACCCATGTTGATCATAAACATGATGCAATTCCTAGCAATTTTGGCATAAAACAATAGCAAAAGTAGTTCAAAGTACATAAATAAAAGTCACAAGCTCTCAAAAGATGTTGAGGCTTAACCTAAATGTTAGATTACATCTTAATTCGATTAGTATGAAGACTTAGGTTTCCATTCCAAGCTAAAATTTTTGTTTTCAGCAAGTGAAGCAGATACTAAAAGGAGTATTTGTAAACCAAAAGTTGAAGATATTATTTGCCTGATTGAGCATCCACTTGAAGCCCACAGCCGCAGAGCACTCATTCTTGGAAGCACTAGTGAACCAGTCCAAGTTGTAAACCTTGTCTAAAGTCTTTATAATTGAAGAAATATTCTTTCTTCTATCTAGAAGAGAGAATATCTCTCCATTCGAGCTTATGTTCATATGACTATTTAACAAGGTCTCAAACCATCCACTCCCGGATCTCTGCATTGACAATATGGCAAAGAGCCGTACAGGGTTTTGTGAACATTCTGCCCTGTTATATCAACAGGTTCAAAAACATAATAAGACACAGAACGATTCAAAGGTTCAAAAGAAACCAAAAGAATAATCTTTGAGTTACCGGCTAAAAGTCTGAGGTGTTGGGTAATGCAACCGAGGAATGTGAAATTGCTCGATGTTCTCCTCAAGAGAAGGCCTCTCCAGAACCTGCTTCATGCTCTTGTCAAGAGAAGGCCTACTGGCAATCTGGATTCTCTCAAACTTGATCTTGGTTACGCTGCTTATCTGCTTTAGGCAGATTGAGCAGATATAAACACCACACACCATGGCAAAGACTAAAACTATCATCCTCAAGAACAATGGTGATTTCTTAGGATGCTTAATAACTACAGTGTTATCCTGTTGCCAAGCAGAAATATACAACCATATCAAAATACAATCTTCCACAAAGAGATATTACAAGAAAGACCGACCCAGGAAGCCAAACCATGATATTACAAGAAAGAGTCAACAAAAGCCCTAAGGTCTGCTGAAGAATAAACAGAAGCCCGGAAAAAAAAAAAATTGAAAATTACAGAAGCAACAACAAGAGAAAAACATACCCAGAAGCGTTAGCAATTAATCCAGAAAATCCCAGTAAACATCAGCCAAGAAACATAAAAACGAGGAGGTAAGCAGATCAGGAACATGCAAAGAGAAATATCAAGCATTTTTCTTCGCACCACATCTTAACACATTTCGCATACCCGTGAATCGTTCAATAAACAGCAGCAATAATAGAAAGCAAGCGAAGTTCAACAAAGAAATACAGTAACAAACAGTGATTTTTTGGGACAAAAGAATCAGACCAAAAAATGAATAAATGAAGCAGAAAGCCATTGGGGAGATTAAAGCAACAAAAAACGAAAATACAGTGAATGAATTGATTTGAGTATTGTACCTTGTTGAAGAAACAGATGTACTCCGCCATCTTCCCTACCTCCAGAAACTGAGAAGAAAAAGAAGAAAAAAAGAAAAAGAACAAAACCCAGGAAAAAAAAAAAGGAATCCTAAAAGGATAAGAAAAATTTCAGTCTACCGGACAAAAAAAAGAAAAGAAAACCAAACAAAAAAAGTCAGCTGAGCTGAGCTGCGGTTCACTAGCGGCCGCTCTTGCTTCCTCGTAAACGCAGCTAGAGAAGAAAAATAAAGCAGAAACAGAGAAGAGTCCAGAGAAAAGAGAAAATCCCTGGTTAGTTTTGGAGAGGAAGAAGACAGCAAAGCCTCGGGCAAAACAATGCCATCGAGGGAGGCTGCGTGAGATTTTGAGAATAATTAATATTATGCGGGTGGGTGAGTGAGGACCGAGTTACTGAGTTGAATTGGTTTTGTCGTCCCCTCCCAGGAAAACATTGAAACAGAGATGGCGTGCGTAATCTAGGATCTGTGATTTGTCCCGGACCAGACCAAACACATACGCGGCTTTAAGCGTGTCTCTGTAACTCGCCAACACCTCCTCCTATTTAGAACTTTGACTTCTGCCACTCCCACCTCTCGATCACCATCTTTATAAACGATGACTCCTCCATCATGATTTTCAGAATAATAAAATCTTAAAAGTAATTTAGAAACTTTACCTTTCAGATTATTAGCAAAATAATTTCCAACCCAATAATTTTTCTTTAATTTCACCGCATACTTTTGATCTTCCCAAAATAATGTTTTGATAGTAAAATTTTAAACATATTAATTCAGTTTTGGGGTATAGAAAATTAATTCGGCCAAAAACAAAATTGAATGAATCAAAAGGTTTCAGGTGCTTGAGATTTGGCTTGGTCAAACAAATCCTCCCGCGGATAACGTGATTAAATTTCAGAATCAAACTTAATTTTAATCTAATTGCTTTTTTTAAACTTACAACATCTGTAGATCATTAAAGAGATACTGTTTTCCTTTTTTTGAACTAAATAAATCATTCTAATAATTAATTTAATATTTCTTATAATTCATTCTTATAAAGTAAACATCATTAATTTATCAAATCATTAATAAATAATGTTAAATAAACCCAACCCAACAATCAAGCCTATAATTTACTGCACTCTTTCTACCCTAAAAATAAAAATGATCTGAAAATAATATTTTTCAAACAAACTTAAATGCAAAAATAAGCACCTGACAAACTGACTACCGACACCGTACGCTTCTTCTTGTCATGCCCGCAAAACATTGATTGTTTTTTTAAAAAAAAAAATTAAGCTCAATTTATTGGGAAAAATATTTGGATTAATAAAAGGTTATCAATTATAGAGTTGATAATAAAAGGGTCGTCTGTACTAATAATAATTAGCATAGCTTTATCCAAAAAAATAAAAAATAAAATTGTGATGGGTTTTATAAGTAATATATATATTTCAAAACTGGGTTAATTAGTGGAGCTGTCCATTAATTAATGGATCTGCAGGCTGCACGGCATATATAAAGATTAAGAACACACCTTTAATTATGTAACTTATATATATATATATATAAATATGATACTGTAAATATATATAGTTACGTACAGACCTGGTAGCTATTATGCATATCATGACATGGAGATAGTTGTTATTTTTCATTTCCGCCGTTGATAAATAAATAAATAAATAAAAAGAATAATGATGGGTTGCTTATATTCCAAGTCTCAAGATTTAATCAGTCCTTTTTTTTTTTTTTTTTTTTTTTATTATTATTAAAAAAATATATAAAATTAGTTTGAAATAAATTATTATAAAACATTGATATCTGAGTGTCTGCAAACGTGAACCCCACGCTGAATATTTTGTGGCAGTGATTTATTTATTTATTTATTAATTATTTTAAAGGGTTTAAGGTGGTGAGTGTAGATCCAAATTAATTAAGATGTAATTTTGTGGAATTGTTAATTATGTCCCACAACTTTTGTTATGTGTTATATATATATGGCATGGGATGTGGACTGCCTACCCGTCTCTCGGTTTGACACATTGAATTTTTCTGGAGTGAATAGAGAGAAGTGGCACATGACAATTCTATTAAGTAGCCTCTTGTTAAATTAAACTCTGAATTATTTATACGCCTAAACTTTGTTATGTTATGGTATGCTGTAAAATTCTTCTTTTATTCATAGTTACCTACATGTTAATTTGCTTTATATGTATGTATGTGCATGTATCGATTGTCACCACTAGAGAAAACTTTGAATTTTCCACCTGATTTCGCATTTTCAGAATCTCTCTCTCTCTCTCTCTCTCTCTCCCACGCATGCATGCATCATATACATATATATATATATATATATATACAATTTCACTAATATTGGTGTGCTACAATTTTTATTATAATTTACAATATCTTTGGTACTTTTAACTTTGTGGTAAATTTGAATGAGTTCCTGAGTTTAAAAAAAAAAAAAAAAAATTCAATTAATGAGTAATATTTTGACGTGTGTTGCATTGAAAAGAGAAGAAAGACCAGGTCCCCAGATCTCCGACTAAAATCAGCCCATCAACACTCAAAATAAAACAGAAAGAAGCCTCTGAAGAGAAAACAATCTAAATAGTTTTTAATCGATAAATTTAAATAATATTAGAATTATTTAACCATCATATATAGTTTTAACTTATATAATGAACTATTAATTACAGTAAAACAGTATATAAAAAAAAAACACAATTTATATATATCAACTTATGTTATAAGGTGATTTTTTGTTTCTTCTTTTTCTTGAGTTTTCTTTTTTAATTGTTGAATAATTCAGTCATCATTTTTAAGAATTCACTGGTCTAGTTTATAAAACTCGGATCATCCAACTTCAGTTTTAATAAAAAAAAAATGTAAATGTATTTAAATATAAATATAAATAATATATGTACCAAAATTTCACAAGGAAACGTGCAGACCTAAATCTTTATATGATATTGGACAAATTTTGTATCAGTCAGCAAGAAATAAACATATATATATATATAGAGGCACTTGGAGAAAAACCTAAAGCAACAACCAAAACACAAGAAACATGCACAAACAACATTTTTCAGCTAGGATCCAATATGTACAACTATTTTAGTTACTCACTGCACGTCATTTGGTACTGATGATCACACACACAGATATATATATATATATATATATATATGTATTATGCAGCAAAAGTAGAAGTTAACAAATTAATTAAACATAAAAACTGAAAGCTTTTCATGTGATCATTATAAGACGAATCTTAACTTTGCAAGAGTACCTAATACGTCTACCAAATTAATTATTACATATATAACTTGGTTTTCTGGACGATTTCAAACAAGAAACTTGTTTATACCAACAAGATACATTCAATAGTCAACTCCAATAATGAAGAGTATAATACATATATATATATATATATATATATATAGTTAAAGACGTCACTAGAAGTAATTACTTCAACTCTAATTAATCAATATAAGTTGATTCTAATCAGCCACCTTGCACACTGACTCAAGATAGATATATATACATATCATCTTCTTAACTGCTTTGACAATTTAATTTTATTATTTTTGGCAGCAAAAGAATTGATTATAATGTATGTACACACAAGTTTTGGGTGAAGTTATAGTGTAGATATGGTACTCATCGTCGTGGCATGAAACAGAAGCTCTAAAGATTTCTTGTTAAACTGGGTAAGGAAGACGACGGAGGCTGGGGGGGGGTAAATATACGTTAATGGAGTAGTGCTGTATGTATAAGAGATATAATATATACGTATACATATATTAGGATAGTCAAAGATTGAAATTAGATTACTAAAAATATCAATAGGAAACACAGATTATGTGGAGGAAGCGAATTAAAATGTGTTTGATTGGTCAGGCGCCTTCCCATGTGTCCACGGAAACACCATGCTTGTAGGATTATAATATTATATATGATATTAATTTAAGTAATTAGTGGGACGCACGCACCCCCCGCGAAGTAAAAATATATATTAATATTTTTTGAAATTATATATTCACCGTGGATGGCAATTAGAATTGTTTGTCAAATTAAATTAACAAGGTTAGAAATGCTTCCAAGAATTTGCTATTAAGTCATTGACATTAACATTATCCTGCCTTTCTTAACGCTCTTTCTCTCTATCTATATATACATGCATACATATATTCATCTACCATATTATATATATAGATCGCCAGAGTTCGATATACCAACCATATATATATATATCATCTTTTCTTCAACAAGTACTCTAGCAAAATACATACGTAAATATATTCACCTGTTCATCATATATATACATATCACTTTAGATATAACTCCATATATATACATATATATATATATATATATGTAATTCTAAAGTACTCCTTTGTTATTTTTTGCAGTTTTTTCTTTTCGTGATTAATAGTTTTGAAAAACAATGGAGAAAAATAGTAGACCAACGTCTTGTGAGTTCGAAAAGCTTCAACCTCCAACGTATGGGAATCTGGTAACAATTCTGAGCATCGATGGAGGAGGAGTTCGAGGAATCATTGCCGGAGTCATCCTCCATTATCTGGAATCTCAGCTTCAGGTTTTCTACAATTAATCTAGTAATATTACTGTCATCAGTGTACAACTATATATATATATATATATTAATGTTATGCATGGGATTGTTAGGAAATAGATGGTGAAGATGCAAGACTTGGAGATTACTTTGACGTGATTGCAGGGACAAGCACCGGCGGTCTGATAACCGCCATGTTAACTGCGCCAAATGAAAACGGCCGTCCCTTGTTCTCTGCTCATCAAATTGTTCCATTCTACCTTGAAAATTGTCCTAAAATATTCCCACACACAAGGTATATGTATACATATGTACGTATAAGCATCCTACATGAATATATTTATGTAGAGACAAGATAGATACATTGAATTATATTGTGATTGATGATATGTGTACGTGTAGATATGGCACTGGATGCGGGGGAGTATTAGAATGTGCAGTAAATTTACAGAGAGGTCTAAGAGGGCCAAAATATGATGGGGAATACCTGCGGGAGATTGTAAGGAAGACACTGGGAGAGACAAGGCTGCACCAGACATTGACGAACGTGGTTATTCCTACTTTCGACATTAAAGAACTCCAGCCTACCCTCTTTTCTTCTTACCAGGTTCATTTTTGTTTCTCTTAACCACTAAACCTAAACACCAATGCATCTCCCTCAAAAAATTCATTACTTTTAAAATATTGCCAAACCCACACAGATATATATAGAGAGTTTATAGATGTACAAGGAAGGACACGCAAAACACATTATATACATAATATATATATACTCCTTATCAGCTATCCATGTATGCACTACTCCCAGCATCATGGTAGATACGTATATGATGCTTTTCTATTATTTATCCACTTTTCCTTTTCATTAATGGGTCTTCCAACTGATAAAAATTAATTAAGTTTCTATTGCTTCTCTCTAAGTCTGTCTTAAAGATCGTGCTCTCTTTTTTGTTTGAATCAGTGTAACAATGGTACCAATTATCAGATGTATTGTAGTGAGAAACGTGTTAAAATATATATAATGTTGGAAATTTTTCATCATCTGAACTTATCTTTGGAATGATACGAGAATTATTAACCAAAAGTTATCAATATACAGGAAATCCGATTGCAAGAAATTTTTTACTAATGAACTCTAACAATGGAATATACAGTAAAACTCTTTTACTACATAAATTTGTCAGTGGAATTTCTGTACTGTTATTAAATTTTAGAATTTTAAATTTAAATTACTATAATAAATATGAGCTTTTATATAAAGTATATATGGGGTGCGGCTAAACACGTTTTTTCCAAATATATAATACTAATTACTACTAACTTATGGACATTATATATTGTTCCATCTTCTTATTTTTTCTTAGTAGAATTTTAACTCCTTTGTCAACCAAAAATTGTTCCTATAAGTGAAAAATTATCATGAGGAATGGAGATTATCCGAGATTCAATTGAAAAGAAAATTAAAAAAGGCTAATGGAAGGGGAACTTGGGACGTGTAGGTGGATGAGCATCCAGCCTTAGACGCTCAATTATCAGACATATGCATAGGCACCTCTGCTGCACCAACTTATCTGCCCCCGTACTATTTTCAGAATCAAGATCATGAATTCAACCTTGTTGATGGTGGCTTGGCTGCTAATAATCCGGTATTATCGTCGTCTTTCAATTAAAGTTTTCGCTTAATTCATAAAAGGTGTATACGAAATATTTATGTTAATACTTGATTGTTTATACTAAAATTAATTAAAAATTAAATGTTTGATTTTAGTAGAATGTTGAATAATTAATTGAAAATAATTATTTAAAAAATTTAAACTAAAAAAATATCTTACTATATCATTTATATGCTAATATATATTTATTAAATTGTAAAATGAATCAGACACTGGTTGCAATAAGTGAAGTGACGAAACAGATAATAAAGCAGAATCCAGACTTCTTACAATTGAAGCCAATGGACTATGGTCGGTATCTGGTGATATCACTGGGGACAGGCTGCAACAAGATTGAGCAAAAGTACGATGCTAAAATATGTGGTAAATGGGGAGCCTTGAGTTGGATTTACAACAATGGATCATGTCCAATTCTAGATTGCTATAGAGAGGCAAGTGATGATATGGTTGATTACCTCAACTCTGTCGTTTTTCAAGCTCTTAATTCAGAGGATAATTACCTTCGCATTCAGGTATTTACTACCTCACCTCATATCACTACTCTATTCAGATTCAATACATAGATATTTAACAGAGACAAGTACAGTAACTTCAGGTTTAAAAATATTAATTATGAAATGCACAAACAGGATAAAATAGAAGGTGAATTATCTTCGGTTGACCTATCAACGAAAGAAAACTTGGAAAATCTGGTGAAGGTTGGGAAAAGCTGGCTGAAGAAAAAAGTATCCCGCATTAACTTGGTTACGGGTCTGTATGAACCACTCGCAAATGCTGGTACCAACGAGGAAGCCTTAAAAAGGTATTTTACAAAGTTGTCTCAAGAAATTAGATACAGGTGATTGTTTTATATGCAAATAATTGACAACCAATTCCCTCAGGTGCGCAAAGCTACTATCAGATGAGCGGAAGGTTAGGCTATCCAGATGCCCAATCACAGAGACTCCACAGTGAAAAGCTCCAGCTTATTGCTTCCTACGTTTCTCTCTGTCTATTATAATTTGGTCCAATTACGATTAAGACATATATAAGCAAAGGATATTGGGTAATGAAGTACAGTCATGTGAATTCAGAGTTGTAAAGAACCTTCTACAAATGAAATTTACTTGTTCTGAATTTGAAACTAGATTATTCAGGATGACCAGATTATTTCTTTTTAGGAGTCTGAGAAGATGGGATCTTATCAATTCAAACCAATTCAGGTTCATAATGAAAGATTACTATTGATATCATCTACAAACAAGTAATATCTAATAATTACTTTATTCTAATTTTAAGTTCGTCCGGTCAATCTCCAACATTCGTCCACGAGAATTTAAACTGTAAAGCCAATATATACGTACATGCATTTTATCCGCATGAATTTTATTCAAAAAAAGTGTATTTATCCGCATGAAAGTTCAAACAAAAACCAGTATTTTGTCTTCTTTTTTTGTTCTCCAGGTAACTACAGAATCAAAATATGCAAGTGTTTTCTTAAACATCGAAATGCAGGCGTGTTACAGGAGATGATGCAAGCTCTTAGACTTCAAACTTCTTATATATCAAGAAGGAAAACTCTTTATGGTACAAATTGAATAAATCAATTACTTTAAAAATTAAATGAAAAAATAAAATCAAATTTCGTAGAGTTGTGTAAAACCTATGCAAATATTTGCTGGATGACGGTCTCAGCATTTCCGTTGTACTGTGCAAGAAGTTGGATGGCATCAGCCCTTGGCAAAGCAAGAAATTCCTGCACCCCTCAGAGAAAAAGACTCACCAAATGTTACTGCATCTTGAACAAACATAACAATAAAAATTTTCTGACTTCAAGAAATCAAAAATCATCAAAATGCAAATTGCTTTTGTGCTTGAAATAATATAAAAACACGCAGAGGAGGAAAAACAAAAGGGTTGGTGTTGGAAACAATTAACACAAGCTTGAAACTGCAAGTGCCTACCCCTAGGGAGAATGGCTTATCCGATATAGATGATAACAATTGGACTCACACACTTGGATGACCCGAGTTTTAGCAATCTAGTAGTACGGCAGAATCGACCAGAGTGGTATTATCATCAACAGCAAAATTCCACAACTTATGTTTAAAATAAATTCCGGATTTTTGTGCTAAAAAAATAAATAAATAAATTTCGAGTTTTTGTGAGATCCATTTGTAAATCTACATTTAATTCAATTAGGAGATTATGTAGATTGTATTAAGATGACAATCGAATTGATTTCATATGAAATTTAATAAAATTTAGAATTTATCATTCTAATTCTACATGAAATTATATATAAGACTAATATATTTTTATTTTAGAGAGGATTTTCACATCATAGTCAAAATAAGTATGAATTTGCAAATAAATTCTTTAAAATTTAGATTTCTTCAAAATATAACCTTATGAAAATGGAAGAAACCAAGTAATCTAGGAGTTCGGGGGAGGGGAGGTGGGGAAGACCAAAACTCTTTCATCATCATGATAATTTCAATAAATACCAAGAAAAATTACTATAAGAACTTTCTTTTTTTTTTTATACGTGAATATAAATGCATGGCTGAACTTACCATTACTTTAAGTATTGCATTTTCATCGCAGATAATATCGCTAGATGATATTTGAGGACTGCTACCATCATCTGACATCCTGGTTCCTGAAGAAATAGTGACTTGGGAAGATCCACGGGTACAACTATCAACATTTAACTTTGAAATGGCACCAGCACTAAGCAAATGCGTATTTGTTTCCTTCAAGGAATCTATACCCAGAAGATTCTCAAACCGATCCTTACACATCTGAAGTTTAAACCACTCGGTATGAGTGTAAAGAGTTGCTCTAATTATCCTCATAAGCTGGGGTTCTTCAATACTAAGCCTCCCACCAAAAGCGACCTACCAAAATCAAATGGAAGTTCGCATTCTGTTCAGAAATTGATATGATATTGATATTTAGGCAGATTACAAAACCATTACTAACAAAAACCCAACAGCATTTAAAAACATATAAAAACTTGATTTTTGCTATTTTAACTGTTAAAAAATCTAAATGTCTTGGTTAATTCTAAATACCCATTATACTCTTACTTATTTCTCCCGTTTAAGAGAAAAGACATATATTTCCTTTTGCTGCCTTGTGCAACAGCTTCTCCATCTCTATCAGCTACCAACTTCATCATCTCCCATTGAAGATCTTGTGCAAGAACTTAAATATGAAAAAGGAACGAGATTGAAGAACTTATCTAAATATTGCTCCCTTTAATCACTGCCAAACTTTTTAAAACAGCAAACTATCACAAGAAAAACATATTTTTCCCCACCCATTCAACAATCTCAGTAAAACTAAAAATTTATAGTTCAAATTATGTAAATACTCATAATCTACCATCTCTTTCTCAATCACATCTTATCCAAACACCCTCCTATAGAATTTCTCTTTCCGCTTCATGCTCCAAAAACAGTAAAACATCATCAACCCTTAACAATATCTACCAGTCTTCTTGCCATCAACAAGGTTAAACCATGCACCACCAGTACCAAGAAGGCTCTTACCTCTGTCTCGATCACACATTACTATATTCCAAGCACCATTCATAGCGAAAATTACCCATATGCAGCAGATCAGTTGTCTTTCTTCCTTCTCTCTCTTCATCCAAACATCAGCGGGCAACAAAAGATATGGACTCTCATTCAGTTAAGAAATTCCAAATTGGTGCCGCCAAACTCAATGAAACACAAACACTAAGCAACATGAATCTCTAGTGAGGATTTGAAACAAAAGATATTTAGAGAAGCAATAGTGAAATCTACTGACAATGCGCCACAGGTGAGCATCTGGTATCATGTGGGTCTGATGAGAAGGGAGGACTATGGAAAAGAGATGGGAAACGGAGAAGTGCAAGAGTGGGAGATGACAGGCAAGTAAGAAGAGTTGCTAAATGGAGGTGGAAGAGAGGGGCTTTACAACAGAGTTCCCTTCATGCCAACTACTTAGAAAAAATAGTTTTACAGATTACTTAAAATCTTGAATATGTCCCCTAAATCTTACTCTATCAAGAGGATGACCTTTGAAGTTAAAAAAAAAAATTATCTCAAACCAATAGTCTATAATCTTGGGAAAAGGGGGAGCACCCACCATCAAAATCCTCTCCCAAATGACCAAAAGATGAAGGGCGATGAGATAGAGAGAGAGCTCATTATGTCCATTCTTCTCCATAGAAAAGGCATAATGCACCAAAATCTCTTATCTCATCAAGTTCCTAATGACCATCTAAATTAAGAAAAACCAAGGTTGCAAAAACCAAGGTTGCATACAGCTCGGGTTTATCCCAAGTAAAAATTGATATCACAAGGCCAATGTAACTGCATTCAACAGTCTGGAGTAATATCTCACAAATGCGAGCTGTTTTTAAAAAATTGCCCTGCTGTCTTCAATATACATGTGCTCGTATTCAGCAACCCTCTCTACTAATATGGTTGAGTTTAATTTGGTAGAAATGAGTAAAAGAGACTCTCCTTGTCCCTCTATGAAACTCCAACATTTATGTTAGCATTTTTAAAATTTTTTCCTCTATGGGAAGATTCATAAACTAGTTCACAAGGAAAATAAAATAAAGAGATTAAACATATCTTCCAAATGGATGGACTATTTTTGTGGAATTTATTAGAAATTCAAATTTTAATCAATCATAATAAGATGAAATTACCTCAAGGACCATGAAAAGTCAACTCCAAGATGGAATTGTCAAAAGATATCTCTACTAAAGCAACTATATTCTTGATGTGATCCAGCAGAACAAAGGTTAAGACAATAGAAAAAAGAGGAAAAAAAATCCACTCCACAGTTAGAAGGATTGACAACAATCACAATCACAACCAAAGAATTATTAAAGTACTCAATCAATGAGAATATAAATATGAATTATTCATAAGCATTCTAAAAAATAATGATAAAGCACCCATGCATGTATAGGATTTCCATATAAAGCAATATGACTTGAATCCTTAAATAAATTTAAGAAACTAACAAAAAAGTAAGACTTCCAATTAACTAACAACTAAATTTTAACAAATTAAAAAAATTACACTAAATATAATAATCCTAGGGATGGAGCCAAAAATAAAATGCCCAAAGTGAATGCATGATATATCTGTTATCTTTAACATGCGAAACTAACACTAATAAAGTCAAAAGTAAGAACAAAAATAGAAAAAACTTTCATGGACTTGGTTACAGCAGCAAGGGCTATCATACCTGGAGTGAAGTTGCTAGAGCATTTAAAGGCAACCCACTTGCAATTGCATCTTCATTTGGTCGGAGTAAAGCCAACAAAGTCTCCTTCAAGGGCTTGAGTAAAGACGTATCACTAGCTGCTAAAGGACCTAAATAGGAGCACGCGACCTTTAACGCACCAGACTGATCACCAGAGCTAACCAACTTGAGAAATTCAACCTAAATCAGCAAAAGAAGTCAGCATACGCTTCCATATGGAATTAAGAAACCAATTGATAAGAAATGTAGCTACAGTTGAAACCATGTTTCCGTTTAAGTAAATATAGAAGGTGAATGCTCCTCTCAGAATTGTTTTTTTTGTATGGGAGACAGGACGAGAGTGTATATTGACTATTGACAAACTGATGAGAAGGAAAAAAATTATGATGAACGAATGCTATCTATGTAAGAGAGAAGTGAAATCCTGCAATCATATTCTTTTGTCGTATGCCGCTATGCAAAAGTTATGAACTATGATCTATATGTTACAGGGGATCAGATGGATTATTACTGGTTCGACTAGAGAGATGAGATTTAAGCATGGGAGGGAATTACTAAGGGGACGAAAATTGTGGCTCCCATTCATCTTACTATGTTTTGGGTGGTTTGGAAAGAGAGAAATAATAGAATTTCTGAGGGGGTAGAAAAGAAATTTTTTAGAATTAGGGACAAATGGCTACAATATTGGTGATCATTGGTTATAAGGTACCCTATTCATACCATAGAGGATTTTGAGAATTTTATGGACATGCTCACTGATCTATAAATAATTTTGTACATAGGCGGCACTCCCTTGGTGCTTGTGAATTAATGATCATATTATTCTTATTATTTAAATAAAAAACCACATAAATGCACATATAAAAATATCCTCATACAATAAAATTGCAGATAGTAAGTGGTCCACCAATCCAATTACCTGCTTAAGTTTGAAGAGCAGAACAGGATTCTGCACAAAAAAGTTTGGATCCATTGCATTAATCTCTTCAACAACCTCAGCAGCCATTCCTCTGCTAGCAAGTTCTTTCATCCTCAGCACAATCTCATGTTTATCCTCCCTATTTCTGAAATCAAATATGAAATCTTTTTCCAGACCCTGCAGTAGCTTCATATCAATTTTTTTTTTAATAGTGAAAGCCTCATCAGTTATCAATTCATTGTAAACAAAAGAGTGATAAGTTTGTCAAAAAGTACCTGTTGTTCCTTTGATATATTTGTGCAGGTAAATGGGGTAGCAGACTCTTGCTCAGTACATCCACTAAAAGAAACATCAGGAACACAACCAACTTCATCCTGTCTTCCTCTCCATCGTTTGCGTTTACCCCTTTCTCCAGTACCACGGGCTCTGTTTTTAAGCAAAGCTCTTGAATGTTCATGCTGATGTGATCCACTGGTGCTGCAATCTTCACAATTGCTGGCTGGCTCACTTGTATACCTCAATTCTACATCACTTCCTTGCATGTTAGTCACATCAATATTATTTTCTGGAGAGCCATCCATTTCAGCATTGTTAATCGAAGATTCTCCAGCTGGTTTACTGGTGCCACAATCCACCTCAAGAGAACAATTTCCTGATGAAAAACACCCTGATTCCGACTGATTAACTTTCAAGGGTTCAGAAAGTGTTTCTATGCCTAAAAGATGATAGAAAAAATCAAAATTTCAGGAAAGTTAAAAAAGAGGGGGAAAAGAGTATCCGAAAGAAAATATTAAATTAAATATTAAGGTTTTAGTTTCAGCAGATGAGGCTGCAATACCAGATTCCACGATACCCCTATAAACACAATACTCTTGAACGAGCTCATCAAGCATGGAAACATCTAGTCTCATTCGACATAACTCATTCTGCAGTAGATGGTCAGATGAATTAATGTCCATATTAGATCCAACCAATTAAATAAAAAAAATGGGGCAGGCTTCAAATGAAAAATCAGTTCTAAAGAAAAATGATTGAGATATCAATCTATGATAATAGCAGAGGTGCCACTTAGAAGATGATAAATAAAATAATGGAATTCTTTGAAGAGTTCAAAAGCCGAAAAGAATTAGATAGTAATTACAGTTAAAAATAAATAGAGAACTCCTGAAGAAGATTGAAAGCTTATGTCCATCAGGAATAAACTTTGACTCATGAGAAAAATAAAGTTACCAGTTACTAATGTGTAAGGGAATAAAATTCAACAGAATTCAGTCTAATAAGCCATGCAATTAGAGAATAAACCAATCAGCTCAAAATTCTAGAGAGCACAACTACAATGATGAAACTGAGAGAAATAAATAAAGCATTTGTGAATATCATAAAGTGAGCCAATTAATAAATGTTTGACATAACCTGAAATGCACGTAACAAATCACCCTTTGCAAATCTCAGGCCATCAATTGCCCCTTGCCTTGTCAGCTCTACAGCATGTGCAAGCGCTTGTATATCTACCTGATTTCAGAATCAGAATGCATATCAGAACACACAAGATTATCAGATGGCCTATCAAATTCATAATAAACATAAACCCGCACATAAGTATGTTAACCTACTAAATCAATATATGATTGAGATTTTAACTTCAATAGATGTCTAAATTTATTACAAAATTTAGAAATCTCACCTCATCAAAAGGAGGTGCCTCATACAGACTCTCCTGAGGTGTTGCTGGCGGATCACGTTCCTCAAGAAGCAACCTCTCTGTCAGGTCTGAAATAGGTGATGAAATTCCTTGGCGGAGGCAAAATCCTTTGTGTATGCTGGAAATATATGGTAAATTAACTAAGGTGAAATAACATACACAGAATCGTGGAGTATCTATAGAAAGTAAAATAAACTTTAGTTGCAGGATCACCTTATCAAATATCTCAATGTCATTGAAAAGAGTGGATCATATGCATGTAAATGAGCTCTTAAGATGGAAGACATCAAGCCAGCAATCTCAAATCTTCTTTTTTCAGCCCACTGTATACAAACAATATGCGAGATTATACAATCTAAAGCTGAGATCAATGGCAGAATGTGTATAATTAGAAGAACAGACTGTTATTCTTTTAAATGCATGGAATATCTTCCTAACACAAATCCCACCACTTGAGGTGGCAGCGAAGATACTTATACAAGCTAATTGCACCATGGTAATGAATTTTTATACGAAAAATTACAGTTTTATTTTCAACAGAAAAATTAATGTAACATTCACAAGGTTCCCACTGGATATGGGACAAGATTTTGACAGGTCTGCTCTTTCCAATCTATTGGGAATATGAAAGTCAGGCCATTGGCTCCTTGTAATTTTTCTTTAAATCCTTACCATACTATCTTCTCCTTCAAAATTTACAATCAGAGTTATCTTATGAATCCCAAACCCAAAAGGCTAAAAGATATTTGTAGTATACTCAGTCCGTAATAATGGAAGAGGTACTCAAAATTCCCTTCTTTTTTCTTGTTTCCTCATAAAAACTCATCACAAACATCCCATGCACTCCTACATCCAAAGTTCTCATAAAAATGAGAGACATTCAAATGAAAACAAACATGCAATGAGAAAGGAGGAGAAGATACCTTAGTGAGAACTAAAAAGGACCATCAAACTACTAAGTGAGATTTTGTTTGAAAATTTTCTTTTAGTTTAAGTAACCAAGTAAAATGAGTCAAATAAATGAATAAATAAAAAGCAGAATATTCTTATTCATTTTTTTCTTTCTTGCATTTCCCAGTGGGCTGAGGATCAAATAATATACTCACAAATAAGAAATGAAGAGATATATGGGTATAAAGATCTTCTACATGTCGACCAGTCTCTTCAAGTTCTTTCCATAAACAACTTAGACTAGTAAACTACACAAAATATAGAAGCAGAATATCCTCAAACCTTTGCTTTTTTATATGCAAAATTAACTAGCAATAGATTTTATAAATAAATTGAAATTGCAATTTTATATTAAATGCAAAATAACTACACTATTTAGGAGTCTATTATTATATTATTTTGGAGGATTATCATAGTTTTAGTAACTTAGAGTTTTTATTTTTATTTGTATTTTCCTATTTGTATTAGAATTAGTATTTCTAATCCGATACATACTTTATATTTTTTAATTTTTTAAAAAATATATTATTAGTATTAATTTCTTATTCTTATCAGGATTAGTATTCCTAATTCTACTATTTTACTATTTCTTATTTAATTTCTATTTAATAAAGGTTGCTTAGAGATTATTATAAATAGTTTGTAATTTTACTTATTCGTGAGCATGCAATTATTTATTAATATTTTAAGAGTTTCTCAATTTTCTAGTTGTGTGATGCAATCAATCCCTTAAATATAATACTTAAAACTTCTTATATACGATTCTAAGAAACTCTACGTGTGATGTTTAGGTTTTTATCTCCAAATCTCAATTGGACAAATTAACCTTATTTGTCCTACATCATTTTTTCTCCTCTTTTTTGCAATTCCCAGGGGACTGGCAACAAATACTATACTCTCAAATAAGAAAAGAGAGATATAAGATGCATGTATCTTCC